AGAAAAAATTCATTCGTCTTAAGGAAAAATGTCATCATTTGTGCGTGTTTTGGAACACTGTTTTAAAAAGTACGCGTGCTGACATTTATTTATTTGTCATACACAAAATTGAGACAATGAGAAATGGTGACAAAAGCACTCTCTTTTCGGAGAAACACGTGCAATTATAGGTGAATTTTAGCATATTACAAGCAGAATTAACATGGGTCAAATTAAATTAATTTGCAGAATTTAAACTGAAATTAGAGTAACGTTTTGTGTTTATTCTCTCTTCTACATATTTATTCAAGCGCGTTTTGTGGTGTAAAACAATTTAATGTGCCGCCCAAATACCACAATATTCAACGAACTTGGCGAACTTTCCTTTTCGTTTAGACACTTTGTATGAATTAACAATGAAACTCAATCACGCACGGCATTTTAAAAGCTATTTTGCAAACAGAGTGCAGCGAGGAAGAGAAATAATTGTGTGTAGGAAGAAGGAGAAAGACGTGGAATTTATAATCTTTGTCATAAAATCGTGTCTGTTGCTTATCTGGTTACTTTTTCTTACATAATAATTAAAGAGACATTCTCAAATTGAAAAAAAGAGCAATTTCTTCTTCACAATTTCCAGTTTGACTGGCTCAACTCAGACTTTTGCCTTCACTTTTATTGAGTGAATCAAAGGAAAAACTTCCTTTCGCATAGAGATTATAATAAAATAAATGGATGAGAAGAGACTCTGAATTTTATCCGCATTTTCGTGAGATGAAAAAGAAAGTTATGCTCTCATTATTTCATTTCTGTTTCTGTTGAATTACACAATTTGCAAATATCAAAAGCGTGTGAGTCAATGCCAATCGAGGCATAACGCAGAATATATTCGTGAGTGTTTTTGGACAGCAAAATGACTTAAATGGGTGCATCGGTTATAAAAATTTGAATTAATTTAATTCACTTTTGGACAGAGAGATTACTTAATAATGTTGATGGAGGTCGATTTCGCGTGAATCACAAAAGTGAATGCCAAAGGAGAAATATGTTTCAACTGAGAAATTTTTGTTGTTATTTGTAACAATTTCAAAGCAAACAACAATTTCTTTGCACGAAATTTGTGTCCTTAAACTCCACGTCGAGTTTGTCTTGCGTCATTGAAGTAAATTTCTTGGTGCGATTGCGAATTTTGGACTCAAGAAAGGGCATGACGAATTACAACAATCTCTTCTCACCTGTATTTCCAATCCAATTTGCTCTTGTGGAGGTAGAGAGAGAGTATGGGAACGTCTGAGATTTCTGTTTCATGGCCACCAGCTTCCAGAAGGAGCACCTTCCAGTCGTAAATCTCTGATAAGCGCGACGCCACGACGGATCCCGCTGATCCTCCGCCGACCACGATGAAATCGTATTCATTGTCGACTTGCTTGACGTTGAAGGGTCGATTCTCTGGATCGAAGAGGTCGTAGTTGTAGAAGATGAGGGATGAGATGAGGATGGGCAGGACGGCGAGTTTGCCAAGACCTCCGATGCCCGCGGCGGCGGAAATGGCGCCGCCAAACGCCTTGGCAGCGGCTCCAATGCCAACCACGGACTTCCCAACGCCCACCACAGTCGAGGCGGCACTTCCAATAGCCGCGACGGCTCCTTTGGCGGCGCCAAGGGCTGGTACTATTTTCGGCAGAGCCTTGACCACAGTTGCACCCACTGAGACTACGGGAATAGTCATAATTTCTGCCTTAATTTACTTTCCAATGAACCAATTGAACTCTGGGACTCTGTGCGAAGTCTTCGTGTCCTGGTAGGGAGGAATATCCTCTGAATGTCCTTTGAATTGTGTCTCAGCATCAAAATCGCGTGAAATGGACAAACTTTTCTCGCAACACCAACACATAAGATGACTGGAGGCGCGTCTGACACTCTGTGATGAATATCGTGAGGCAGTCACGGAAGCTCATTGCCATTGTGGACTCCCTGAAGCACACTTTGCGGAAGTGCATTAATCACAATTATCTACTAGAAACATTAACGAGATGCACTCGAGTGAAGACACAGAGTCATTTTTTTCTGCACAAATTGACGCTCAATCATGCAGCTTTTGCTGGATTTTTCATACGAAATCTGAGTGTCTACGTGCACCTGGTCATCACCAGGTGAATTTCGTCACCTGACACTAAACACGGAGCTTACGAGAGTGGGCAAAAATCACAGACACAAAACCACTTTCTCTGGATACCCAAAGACGAGAAGCCTGTGCTCAAATGTCTGCACAGCCAAGTGGATGGAAATAAACTGGCTCGCTTGATGATTTCTTTCGGACTCTATTGACTGCATTTTGGCCTTCCCGCCATCTCTCTTGCCGCCGCCGTGGAGATCTCGTTCGCCGCTCGTGCACGAGGAATATCTGCTGTCGACTTCAAAGTACATGAAACACGTTCGAAATGGAATTATGCAATTGAATATTTGAGAAGACTCGCTTTTTTCCTCCTCGCAATCTCTCTCTCTCTCTTTCTCTCCCACTCTCTTGCATTTCTCTCCACCGCGGATGACGCGCTCTTGCAATTGGGGTGGGAGGACACAAGTGGCGTGAAATTGATGTAGGTTCGCTCGATAGGGTTTTTGATTGCCGCATGATTCAAACGCCCAAAGGGTTAATTTATACACAGATAATCGATATGATTGCCAATTCTAATCTCTGATTTGATCAATCTCTTCTCTTCTCTTTACCAGGTAAATTTCCACACTTCGATCTTTCTCAATTTAATGCTCGATGTGAAAGGATTTTTCAGCATTGTGACTACGTGAGTATGAGGGAACAATTTCTTCTGATTGCAAGGAAATTGTCCACCAAGCCATAAGACATTTATGTAAGATTGTAAATCGATAAAAAATATCTCTATACTCAATATTGATTGTCGATGATCAAAATTTAGATATTGCAAATTTTTCTTTAATTAAACTCCGCATTGTTATGCAACATTCGTGGTTTTTCGGGCCACGCTATTACTTTTTGTCAATGTCTCTCTATTAATGTGAAATTGCATTCCTTAGACGAGAAATGATTAGGATTTTATTGGATATAATTTATTCATATTCAACTGTTGATGTTTTATTTATTACGCACTGACTTTCTGTGCGTGGTGAAAATTTGTCATTGCGCATGTTGCGTAAGAAGTGGGAAATTTGAAGCGAGTCACATTAAAATCATATGCAACAATTTTGCATTATTATTATGATTTCTTTGTGGTGTGAACGGAAGTTGAATTTATTTTTTATCTCTACCATTTTTAATTACAAATCTCGACTGTTAGGTGAGTGTATTTTCTCTCACACGATCCGCACATTATCTCTTTGCATAACATCATATGAGCTGATTAATATTTTCTGCGTGGTGGTGAAAAGAGAGCCAAATGTAATGTACAACCTTGACCAGCATTTGGTACTCTACCTTATTCCGCCGTTATTCACTTTTTCACCGTTTCAATCATCATCTGAAGACGCGCGCGCGCAGCGTCTCAAGTCAATTTGAATGTGTGCAAGTAAAAAGCGAATGTGTGTAGAAATCCAATATCTCATTATATCTCTGCGCTGTCGATGTAATAAATAGCATTTTTTATTTGCACACACTTCTTCTCACACTTTCAATGTTGATTCACATATATGAGATAATTATATTGATGAAGAAAACTTCACATTATTGAACATATCCAGTAGATATGTACACTATTTTTTCCTCTATGGAAAAGTAACGCTTTATTTATTGTTTCAACATATGTATTAAACATATTTAATGAGCAAAAGCTTCTGGTTTCTTTGACTTTGCTGACAACCATGAAGTTTTAATTGTCAATGAATGTGATAAAATGCAGCAAAAAGCTGCAACTTGCTAACAACACTTTTCCGGCTCGTTATGTGTACATTTGTCACACACGAATATGTCTGTGCGTTAGAAATTGGGTTTTCAACCTTGACACAATGCATGATCTTTCTCCTTTTGCTCTCCATTTGAACCGCGACATTTGACTGTATATAAATATAAATTGTGCAAAAGAAAATATCAATTGTTCTCTTAACTCAGAGGCAAATCTTCGTGGGAGTTTGTCGATGGTTTTTTGAGTGTGCTTATTACTTCTGAAAAGAGGGTTTATTATCGCGGTATAAAAGATACAACACATGAAGTTATTGATCGTGAAATTTCATTGTATAATTGACTAAAAGAAATCTCCTTAAACCACGTCATAAAATTGCGTTATCAGATGTGTTTATGCAAAAAAAAATTAACATATTTGCTTGTATGGAATGATTTACCCCGCATTTTGTACAAAGAAAGCTTCAATTTTGGAAGAATAAGTCGTACATATAAAAACATTGTCTATTTTCTGTAAATTTCGTGGCATTGCGCAATGTTTTTCAAGAGAGATGCCCATCTTGATGATCTTTTGTTGTCTCCCGACAGGGCACAAAAATGTTATGGAGTGTTCCAAGAGAGTTGAAAATTGCATTTGATATTCCTTCCGTCTGTGAAATGTCAAACATGAAGAAGAAGAGAGAAAAGGCTTAATTTTTGACAAGATTGTGTGAAATGTAATGCTGGAACTCTTGCGCAAGATGCTATCAAAGTTTTCTTTTCTTGTGCGCATACGAAAAATTGTTCGCTTGAGGGTGTGATGGTCAATTTAGACAGAGACTCAATGAATGGTTGTTGTTTCATGTGCATTTTGACGGCTCTTTGCGGCCACTAAGAGATATCATTCGAGGCAAAAGCATGCATTTCATTTGTAACGCAAAGAAAGTTTTCTTTTCATCAGCCATGCGTGCCCATCAGAGAAAATTCAGTGGAATTGTGTGAATGAACGATTGCTAAATTGAGTTTGTATTGCAAAGAGGATTAAAGAAGCGAAAGCCTCAATTACACATTACAGAATTGATCTTGATTGTCGTGACGCTGTAAAAGCTGCAGCAATTAGAAGGAAAATCACAGATGGAATATGGGAAATTTTTTATTAATCCAATTACACTGTGTGTTACAAATCGTCTTTCTTCACAGCTTCTTTGTCAATCTTCTGCCAATGAGACGCGATCATATCGGCCGCTTTCTCACCAACCATAATTGTGGGAGCATTTGTATTTCCGCTGGGAATAACTGGCATTATGCTGGCATCTGCCACTCGAAGTCCCTTCACGCCTCTCACGTGCAATTCGTGATCGACAACGGCTTCAGTGTCTGATTCTGGGCCCATTTTGGCCGTTCCAACTGGATGGAAGCAAGAGGCGGTCATGTGACGCACATAACACTCCCAGTAGGCGTCAGAGTCCTCTTCCAAGATGTCACAGGCAGACAATTTCACACGAACTGGTTGAGCTTCGTGCTTTTGATAGTACTTCGTTTGTGACATTTTCTGCAGAATCCTGATTGCTCTTATAACAGTCTCAATTTCACTCTGATCCTCGAGATAATTGGCTGTAATTTTGGGATACTCGAGAGGATCTTTGCTGCGCAGTTCAATTTTTCCGGGAACTTTTTGTCTCATGAGAACAATGGCGTGAACAAGAATATCTCCTCTTTTGTACTCTTCCAAAAGTGAGTTCGTAATTTCCTCATTGTAGCCAAATCTTGTGATGAAGGTGGAAAAGGACGGAAGTCCTCTGAGGAAGTGGGCGTTAAGTATTTGAACATCAGGCAGAGTGCTTGTGTCATTTTGAGTGTTAATGAAGCCCATAATATCTGTCACTCCAATTCCTGATAGAGGTCCAATTTGGTGGAGAATGTAGAGGAAAATATTGTCTGCAATTTCTCTTTTGGCCGCTTCAGCGTCAAATCGTTCTGAGGTGTGAAATTTAAGGTAGAACGGGATAAATATGTGATCTTGCAAGTTCAATCCAACGGACAAATCCTTCTTCACCTCTATTCCCAAGGATTCGAGGTGTTTCTTGGGTCCAATTCCTGAATTCATGAGAATTTGTGGAGTATTAATAGAACCTGCTGATAAAATAGTTTCCTTCGACGATTTCACGGTGAATGTCTTGTCTTTGTACAGAAATTCCACTCCTTCAGCGTCTCCATTGTCGTTGAGAACAATTTTGGTCGCTTGAGCATTAAGAATGACATGCAGATTGGTGCGATTCTCGGCGGGTTGGAGAAAGGCTTTGGCTGCACTGTATCTTCGCCCCCTTGCCACAGTGCCCAGCGTTGCGCCCCAACCCATCTGATCAGCACCGTTGACGTCGTCATTCTTGCGGAATCCAACACTTTGAGCCCCATTCAGGATTACATTCCGCATAGTGTCCGTGGCACTGTAGAAAGTCCCCGTCTTCAGTGGGCCTCCAATGGCGTGATAATCACTGCCTGACATCTCAAATAAATCACTATTACCATTGTCCTGTGACTTCTTAAAGTATCTCAAGACATCCTTGTATTTCCATCCGGTGTTGCCCAATGCTTCCCAATTATCATAATCCTGGCGATTGCCTCTGACGTACAGCATCACATTGATGCTGCTGGAACCGCCGAGGATTTTCCCACGTGGCCAGGAAATGCCCTCGGACGCCAAACCAGCCTTATCGGACTTCTCAGTGCGATATTTCCAATCGTATTCAGATCCAACCAAGTCAAAAACCATTGCCGGTATCTGTGATAAGATAATTACGATAGCAATTTATCAGCTCAATGCAAAATACTTTGTGATAGGTTACTTTTGGATTACCTCTGATTCAAGTGGAGGATCTCCGCCGGCTTCCAGTAATAGAACCTTCCACTTTGGGTTCTCACTCAAGCGACTGGCGACCACGGAACCAGCTGATCCTGCGCCGACGACAACAAAGTCGTAATTGTCAAGAAATCCTGGAAGTGATAACTATCTTAGTTTTTGAACATTGGGAGTTTTCTGCATTACATCTCACCTTGTTCAAGCAACGTCTCGCCAACATCTCTCTTTGCCATTGATGGCGGATGAATATTGCACTGAGATAAAATGAGTTGATGGAGCAATATTCTCGTGAGAACACTCATTGCACCCATTTGGGTTGAATTGCACGATACTGGCGCGATCTCCATGTTTTTTTTCGCTCAGTGAATTTCTCAAGAAATCTGTAGGAAAAATCTATTAAAGTGTGTAACGACGCAATTGTTAACTTACAATTAATATATACCGGGAAGTTTCAGGCGGCAGAAATGCTTCTGCCTTTGAAGACACTTGCCGCAATACTGAGAGAAAGACCACATCTATACACACACTCTACCGAACACATTGCCTCCGTCTTTGCATTATCTTATCGTCTATGCCTGAGTGATTGAAAGGCAAAACATTGAAATTTTTATATACTTTATTAGCCTGTGGAAGCTAAGCATAAATGGGGGGAATTAACCAAGGTTGATAAGGTAGCAAAGTGCTCTAATTTTGGCTTTCACAGTTCTTCGTGCCTCTTGGTGTCATACTTCCAATCCTCCTTGATAAGATCCGCGCCTTTCTCCCCAATCATGATCACTGGCGCATTTGTGTTTCCCGACACGATGTCAGGCATGATGCTGGCGTCGACGACTCTCAGTCCTTTGACGCCCTTCACCTTCAGACGCGGATCCACGACGGCCTCCTTGTCCGACTCGGGGCCCATCTTGGCCGTTCCCACGGGATGATAGAGAGTCGTGGCCATGTGTCTGGTGTAACACTCCCAGTACTCGTCACTATCGTACTCCAGCCGATCGCAGTCGGACAAGGGAAGTCTTATGTAATGGCCTTCGTGCCTCTTGAACGTGTCCGTGCCGAGGAACTTCATGTACGTCCTCACGCCCCGAATGAGCGTCTCCACGTCGTCCTGGTCGTCCAGATAGTTGGCGAAGATCTTCGGGTAAATCTCAGGTCTCGAGTCTTTCAGTTCGATGAATCCTTTGGACTTCTGGTTAAGCAGAGTGATCAAAACTGCGCCAACATCGCCTTCCTGACTGAAATCCTTGACGGTCCTCGCGATTGTGTGATCGTAACCGAAAGCACCGAAAGCGTACACGAGCTCTGGAGCCTTTTTGTTGAAAGAGAAGTGATGATATTGGATGTCTGGGAAGACACTGTCATTCTTAGTGTTCACAAAGCCCATACTGTCCGATGTTCCGATGCTTCCTAGAGGTCCAGTTCTGTGCATGAGATATTTATACAGCACTTCACCGGCGGCTTCAGGAGTCCTTTCAACGGCACTCGATTTGTGGAATTGGAAGAAGAGCGGTACAATGACGTGATCTTGTAGGTTTTGACCGACTGGCAAGTCTTTCACCAGCGGAATGTTGTGTTCTTTAAGGTGGTTCTTGGGTCCGATGCCGGAAAGCATGAGCATTTGAGGAGTATTTATAGCACCACCAGAAATTACAACTTCTTTCCTCGCCTTCACAACTAGAGTTTTCTTCCCGTTCACGTTGACCTTGACTCCAGTGGCAGTTTTGCCATCGAACTCAACATTCAAAGCAAGGGCGTTCTTAACCACGTGCAAGTTCGGACGATCCTTGGCAGGAATCAGGAAGGCTCTGGCTGTGCTCATTCTCACGCCTCCACTGGCCGATCCTTGAGCGATTCCGAAGCCGAGATGTTCTTCGCCATTGAAGTCTTTCAGGTATTTGTAGCCCAAGTCTTTGGCAGCATCCGGGAATATCAATTTAAGTGGTTCGGTATTTGCGAACCAGGAGACTTTCAGTGGTCCGTTTTTGTTGTGGAATTTGCCACCATGTGCGTCAGCCACTTCAGGATTCTCGTTGCCTTCGGACTTCTTAAAGTAATAGAGAACATCCTTCCATCCCCAGCCAGTGTTGCCGAAACTCTCCCAGCGATCATAATCCCTGCGATTGCCTCTGATGTAATTCATGGCATTGATGGAACTTGTGCCACCGAGGATTTTTCCGCGAGGCCAGAAACTTCCGCCAGCAATTGATTTACTGGCTTTACTGTCATATTCTGTTCTGTATCTCCAATCGTAATCAGAATCTTGCAGGTAGTAAAATGTCGCTGGTATCTAGGAAATGAATCAACAATTAATGTCAGACGGAAAATATATTATGTAACAGAGAAACTCACTTCAACTTCCACTGGAGGATCTCCGCCAGCCTCCAGAAGCAACACTTTCCAGTCAGGATTCTCACTTAGTCGACTGGCCACAACAGCGCCGGCTGATCCTGATCCGACGACAATAAAGTCGTATTCTTCGAACCCTGTTGGAGAATTGATATTCGCAGTTGGCACGGGATTTATTGAAGTGTCTTTAAAAAGTACCTTTCTCAAGCACTGACGGCCCAAAATCCTTTGGCCACATTTCCGGGGATGAAATTGCGCATTGCGCTGAGACAAGAGTATTGATGAGGAGGCCAAGAAGTTGATTTACAGGCCCGGCGCTTTGGGCAGCGCAAGGCAACGTAAGCGGATCCATTCTTCCCGATTCTCCTTACTTTCTTCACTTACTTTTCACACTTCGACCTTGAAAATGACTTTGAAGGGGTCAATTTGATATTAGAGAACGTTTCCGTAACAAAACTCCTTCTCGACTGGCGCTTAATAAATAGGCGAACATGATTTATAAGCTGCACATAAGCGAATTCTCGAAAATCTTATCTCTTGTACTCGAAAGAGATAATTCTGTGATAGAACAAAATTCAGTGATCTTTCAGTTTTACTTGCGGTATGTGTAATTTATTGTCTGCATTATCTGCAATGTATTTGCAGTAGGTAAATAAAATTTATGTCCGTATTTTGCGTGTCGAGTAAAGCTCTGCTGTTGAGCTTTGCTTATCAGGAAAATAGTATTTTTAATACAGTATCATTTAGAGTAATATTATATCATCGCAATTTTCGTGAATAACATTTTGGAGTTCATTTGGAACTGATATGATATTGCTTTTATCATGTGAAATGAAGATGAGTAGCCAATTTCGCACTTTATTTTATATATTCTTTTACGAGCTCAATTCATTTACGCGCTGCAGAAGTGGAATACTACAGATATTGCTGATCGACATCTCAAGAGGTGTTATAAGAGCCCTTGACAAACCGAGGGTGGAATTAAGGCGGTTTTGCCTTCCGATGAGAGGAATATTAGAGAATTTTCAATTTTTTTTTTTTATATTTCCGGTCTGTATTGTCTGTATTTGGCTATTGTACTGTGAAAAACTTTTTTACATAGTCATGAAAAGGGCAATGTTTTATCTTATCAGTTTGCAATTAGTGATTGACAGAATAAACTTTGAATTTTACTTTATTAACCTGTGGAAGCTAAAATAAAAACGATGGGTATTAAGAATGACTGATAAGGTAGCAAAATGCTCTAATTTTGGGTCCCTGCAAAAGTATGATTTTGCAATTCTACAATCCTATGTACATACATTCCGCTAAACATCAATCTTTCTTTAATATTGTATAATAGTTAAACTCGTTTAGGCTCATTAACTGGTCTCGCTCTCTCCCTATTGCGAGAGATAATGCCGTGATAGAAGGTGAACTTCTGATGAGCTTTCCTTCTTATGTAATGATCCTAATTTATGATATTTATTATCTGCAGAATATTTAAAGTAGGTAAATAAAATTTGTTTGTACTCTGCTTTATTACTTAAATAAAATTATAAATGCAATCTTTTTGAAAAATTTCAATTATATCGCACATTGCATGAGTGACACTTTAGATTTCACTTGAAGTTGATATGATAAAATGTATTATCATGCAAAATAAGGATGAGTAGACAAGTTTATGCTTTGTTTTGTATTTTCGTGTGATGTTGATTTATTGGTTCAATTTACACACTACAAAAATAAAGGAAATAAATACTACAGAAATAGATGAAAGATTTTTCAAGAGGTATTGAGACTATTGAGATATTGTAAGACTCTTTTATTTCGTTTGCAGATAAAGTGTTTGTTTTGGCTAAATGAAATGTTCTTCTCGGTTTTTGCACTCAAAAGATATTTATTTTGATAAGTTTGTGACAATTATCAAATGTTGTCTTTACAATTCTTCATGTTTTGCTCCCTTTAACCAGTCTTCCTTAATCAAGTCTGCTCCTTTTTCACCAATCATGATTGTCGGAGCGTTTGTATTGCCAGAAACAATGTTTGGCATAATACTAGCGTCAATTACCCGTAATCCTTTGACTCCTTTCACTCTCAATCTGGCATCAACGACAGCGTCTGGATCAGAGTCTGGACCCATCTTGGTCGTCCCGACAGGATGATAGAGAGTTGTACTCATGTGTCGAACGTAACATTCCCAATAATTATCGCTGCCACGTTTCTCTTTATTGCATTCACGCAGAGGTATTTTGACCAACTTTGCCTCATTGTTCTTGAAGGTTGGCGTGTCCAGCATTTTCAAGTACGTCTTCACACCGCGCACAAGTGTATCGACATCTTCTTGAGCATCGAGATAGTTGGCATTAATTCTAGGTTGGTATTCTGGTTCGGGTCCTCTTAGATCGACACTTCCTCTTGACTTGGGATTGAGAAGGACTGTGAAGACTGATATGAGTTCAGCTTTTTGACTAGCATTGTGCAGTGTCTCGATGATAGAATGATCATATCCCATGCTATCGAAGGCGAATCTGACTTCTGCTGCCTTCTTCTTGAAGGAGAAATGGTGATATTGAATATCGGGGAAAACACTGTCGTTCTTCGTGTTGACAAAGCCAACAGTGTCAATTGTGCCATGACTGGAGAGAGCGCCAATGTTGTGAATAAGATACATATAAACGGCCTCAGCGACAGCTTCTCTTGTCTTCTCGGCGGCACTCGATTTGTGGAACTTAAAGAAGAGTGGCACAATGACGTGATCTTGCAGATTATGGCCAACGGGCAAGTCTTTCACGACAGGAACTTGGTTATTTTGCAAATGATACTTCGGACCAATTCCCGACAGCATCAGGATCTGGGGAGTATTTATTGCTCCTGCTGACATGATCACTTCTTTCTTGGCTTTGGCGACAAGAATTTCCTGAGCAGCTAAATTCCATCTAACTCCACTCACATCGCCTTTATCGTCGAATTCTAAATTCAGAGCATAAGCATTTTTAACAATGTGAAGATTCGGACGATCCTTGGCAGGTATTAAGAATGCCTTGGCTGTACTGACTCTTCTGCCTCTTTGGATGGTTCCTTGCACCTGACCGAAGCCAATGTTTTCCTCACCAGTGAAATCTTTCACATGTTTGTAGCCCAAATCCTCTCCAGCCTCAATAAATATTTGCTTCAGTGGATCACCATCTGGGAATAATTCAACATTCATCGGTCCATCTGTTCCGTGAAATTTCCCACCATCGGCACTGGCGATGTCATCATTTTGATTCGCTTCGGATTTCTTGAAGTACTTCAGGACGTTTTTCCATCCCCATCCGGGATTTCCCTGTGCCTCCCATTGATCATAGTCTCGGCGATTGCCTCGCATGTAAATCATGGCATTGATGCCACTCGAGCCACCCAACATTCTTCCACGAGGCCAGAAACTACCCATTGGAATTGCTTTGCTGGCTTTTCTGCTCGGATCTGCTCGATAATTCCAATCGAAATTGGACTGCTGGAGGAAAAAGAATGTCCCAGGAATCTGAGAAGAGAATTTTGAATGTTTTAATGACATTTTAATGGACAGTTTGAAATTATCACTGACTTCAGACTCAACAGGAGGATCAATTCCTGCTTCTAGAAGCAGAATTTTCCACTCTGGATTTTCACTCAAGCGATTTGCCACGACAGAACCAGCTGATCCTGCTCCAATAATTATAAAGTCATATTCCTCAATTCCTGGAAGAAAGGAAGAAAGAAAGAGAGTAATTTATGGATAAGAAAACACTCACAAAGTTTCACCTTTCTCCAGAATAGTCGGTCCGTAATCTTGAGGCCACATTTCTGGAGGTGAAAGAGCACATTGAGAAGTGAGGAGAGTGTTGATAAGAAGGGCGATAAGTTGATTTGCCGGTCCCGCACTGTGGGTGGCACATGGCACAACGAGGGGATCCATACGTCACGGCCAATCTGCGAATTGAACGTGTTGAATGTACACGAGTATGTGTGATTTGTTTCACTCAGCGAAAATAGACAAGAACTGGAAAGTCCGAAACATGATTATTTTCTGTATGAACAATACATGCTTATTTGACTGTGAAACTGTTTGTCAATATTTGCAATTTTCTTTGCTGTTTTTTTTGTCAGGGAAACCAACCGGAATAGTGTTATTTCTTTTCTACTCTATTCACTTGTAACCTTGAAATTAAATTTGGATGGAGAGACTTGGAGAAAAGTCAACCGTTCTACTCTGAATCTCTTTGACTACTGACACTGAGAAAAGTCAGAAGTCAATTTGTGGTTCTCGCATACAGAAATAAAAACTACAATGATTTTTACAATCTTATCGTGTGTACTTCATGGAAGTAATCCCAGATATTAAGGAAATCATACTGCTGATTAGTTCAGAAATGTCGGCAGTTGCTTGAGAAGAATCTTGCAATTATTCATAAAATCAATTAGATAATTTATGTGAAACTTCTTATATATTTTAGTACATATTTGTACATTATGTGCACCCTATCAGGAAGTATCATTTTAAACTTGCAGATATTTCTATGAGTATTTGTATTCAATATCTCGCTGTGCTTCACACACTACAATTTATGGTGTTGGTTTGATGATTGATATGAATTGTGTTATCGAAATGTTGCAAATTCGGTGGTGTGAAAATCACCAGTTGCCTTTTAAAGATAATTAGACAATATTCTTGACTTGGACAGAACGCAATGAAATTATTAATTCACAGAATAGAAGCATATTTAAGCGTCTGAAGCACTAAAAATTCCTGATATTCAAATTTAGTGTCAACAATAGACGCTCAATTTCTCAAATTGATACACTTTCATTATTTGCAAAATACTTAGTGTTGAGTTTCACTTTTGATTAGCATTGGAAAACCTTCTCATCATAACACATACAAACCATTAAATCACGTTTTCTCTCTTTTGTATGCAACATAAACAGAGATTATGAGACTAACACATGACTTTCTGTCCAGAAATCCGGCTTTTCTGTCGAGTGTTTCTTTTCCTTCTTTTATTCTCTCTCTCTGAAAAGGGTGATAAATAGAAATGCTTTTTTGAGAAGTGTGATAAAAATAGATTCCTGCATAATAAATCACTTTATTTCCATAAACTCATTGGATTTTATAATGTTGCAGAGCTGATTTGTCTGCTTAAAGACTTGGTTTCCAATTAGAGTTATTTTCTTATTGAAATACTTACATATTCACGTTTAATTCTCAAGTAGTCAATGTAAAAATAATTATTTCAAAGGAATTATGATTTATTTCACGATCATTTTTGAAGCAAAATTTTTCCTTTTATAGTTCTTCGCCGACTTTGTCATCTTTGCTGTCTTTCTTACTCACGTCATCTTCATCTTTCTTATCAAACTTCTTCCACTCGTTCTTAATCATGTCTGCGCCCTTTTCGCCAATCATCACGGCTGCAGCATTAGTATTAGCACTGATGATCACCGGCATTATGCTGGCATCAACAACACGGAGTCCTTTCACGCCGTTCACCTTCAATTCGTCACTGACAACAGCGTCTGGATCGGATTTTGGGCCCATCTTGGACGTTCCCACGGGGTGGTAAATGGTTGTTCCCATGTGTCTAATGTAACACTCCCAATATTCATCACTGTCAAAATCCAGGAGCTCACAATTCTTCAGGTCGATCTTGAACAAATCAGGGTCGTGCATTTTGTAAGATTCTGTCTTCATGTACTCCTGAATGCGTCTAATTCCACGAATTGCCGTCTCCAGCTCACTCTTGCCGGCCATGTAGTTGGGGAAGATTTTGGGGTGATCGAATGGATCGGTGCTTCTGAGTTCAATCTTTCCCGGAACATCTTGCTTCAGCAGTGTCACCATGAGGCAGAGAATGTCGTATTTCTCATGAGCCTTCTCCATATATTTCTCAACCTCAGGCGTAAACTGCATTGCCTTCAGATATCCTTTCATTTGTGGTGCGATGCGACGGAAGTAGAGTGTGTGGAATTGAATATCAGGATATGGTAAAGAATTGTTGAGAGTATTGTAAAATCCAACGAGATTGAGCATTCCAACGCCGGAAAGTGAGCCTTTGTTGTGCATCACATAGGAATAAACCATGTCAGACATGTCCTGAATCGTGGTTGTGGCATTTCTGTTCTTGTGGAAGCCAATGTAAATGGGAATGGCAAAGTGATCTTGAAGATTCTTACCAACAGCCAAATCCTTTTTCACAGGGATTTTCATTTCGTCAAGATGCGCCTTCGGACCGATTCCGGAAAGCATCAACAATTGAGGAGTGTTAACAGTTCCTGCTGACATAATTGTTTCCCTCGTGGATTTGACATTGAATTTCTTATCCTTCAGACTCAATTCCACTCCTTCCACTTCATTCTTCTCATTCACATTGACTTTCGTCACGTGAGCATTTTTCACGATGTGCAAATTTGTTCGATTTGCCGCTTGGATGAGGAAACCCTTCGCTGGACTGCATCTTCGGCCATTGTCCAGATTGCCGAAGACATTTGCCCAGCCAATGTGTTGGTCAGCATTGATGTCCATGTGCTCGACTTCTCCCAACTCGAAAGCGCCCTCTTCCACGGCGATTTTCATCATTTCCACGGAATAGAAATAATCTATCTTCATGGGACCGCCTTTGGCGTGGTATTGACTGCCGGTCAACTCGAAGAGATGCTCGATTTTGTTGTCTTCAGATCGCTTGAAGTATCTAATGACATCTTGCCAATTCCACCCAACATTGCCCAATTCCTCCCACGTGTCGTAGTCCCTTTTGTTGCCGCGAATGTACAGGTTGGCATTGATGGATCCTGAACCACCCAAAAGCTTACCTCTTGGCCAATAGTGACTATTCTTGTAGCCCAATCCAGTGTTAGATTTCTCCGTGTAATATTGCCAATCTACTCTTGTTCTGAACAAAGCTAGTGGCATATTTGGGATCTGAGGAGGAGAAATATTACTTCTTATCTTCTTTGAAATCCATTACCTTTTTTGCTTCGTGAAGAAAAACAAAACGAGAAACAACACTTGACTTTATGACGATGAGGTGAATATTTTTTGAGATGAAAAGCAATTGCAAAGTTGTGTGAATTTATCAAGAAAGTGTTGAAAAAGATTTATTTGAAAGTTTACAAAACAAACTCCATTTTACAGCTCTTCGTGCTTAGTATCCTGCCAATCCTCCTTAATCATATCAGCTGCTTTCTCGCCAATCATAATCGTGGGAGCATTTGTGTTGCCGGACACGATTTCGGGCATAATGCTGGCGTCAACGACTCTCAATCCCTTTACACCCTTCACCTTGAGTCGGGGATCCACGACGGCGTCCTTGTCTGTGTCGGGGCCCATCTTGGCTGTGCCTGCCGGATGGTAGAGTGTTGTGACCATGTTCCTAGTGTAGCACTCCCAATATTGCTCAGAGGCGAATTCGAGTTTATCACACTCGGGAATGGGCAATTTGACGTAATCTCCCTCGTTTGCCTTGAAAGCCTCCGTGGGAACAAATTGATCGTGGTAAATTTTGATGCCTCTGATGAAAGTATCAACATCTTCCTTCTCCTCAAGATAACCAGAGTAAATCTTGGGTTTGTGTTCTGGTTCGTTGCTTCTCAAATCAATTTTGCCTCTGGACACTGGATTAAGAAGAGTCACCATGACCATGATGATGTCCTGATCTTTGTTTTCCTTCATCACTGTCTCAACGATTTGTGTTTCAAAGCCAATTGTGCTCAGCGTAAAGAGCAATTCGGGCGCGAGCTTTTTGAAGGAGAAATGATGATACTGAATATCCGGGAAAACACTGTCATTCTTCGTATTGACGAAACCCATTGTGTCAATTGTTCCGTGATTGGTGAGGAATCCAATTTTGTGCACCAAGAACATGTACATGGCGTCATTTATCTCTTCACGACTGATTTGAAGGGCATCAGATTTGTGGAATTTGAAGAACATCGGCACGATCGGGTGATCTTGCAAGTTTCTACCGACCTCGAGATTCTTCTTCACTGGAATCTTCATTTGCTGCAAGTGTTTCTCCGGTCCAATTCCCGAGAGCATCAGAATTTGGGGTGTGTTGATTGCTCCTGCAGACAAAATCACTTCCTTCTTGGCCTTTGCAATGAGTTCTTTCGTTCCATTGACATTCACCTTCACTCCGGTCACTTGCAATTTGTCATCCATTTGCAAGTCAATCACATGAGACCACTTGGCAATGTGCAGGTTTGGACGATTCTTGGCGGGATTGAGGAAAGCCTTAGCCGTGCTGAAGCGCTTTCCGTCGTTAACTGTTCCCTGGATGAAGGCAAATCCGAGATGTTCTTCGCCATTGACATCGCTGAGGAATTCATATCCCAATTCTTCTGCTGCTCCTGTGATGATGAACTTTAATGGTTCGGTACTGCTGAACAATTCAACCTTCAGCGGACCATCTCTAGCGTGGAATTTGCCTTCTTCACTCTCGGCAATAAGATCATCCTTATTGGCTTCGGATTTCTTAAAATACTCCAGCACATTTTTCCATCCCCAGCCAGTATTTCCGTTCTGTTCCCACTGATCATAATCCCGACGATTGCCCCGGATGTACACCATGGCATTGATAGAACTTGAGCCACCCAACATTCTGCCTCGGGGCCAGAAACTACCATTCTTAATGGACTTGCTGGCTTTATCGGACTTTTCGGCGCGGAAATCCCAATCGTAGGGCGAATGTTGCATGGAGAAAAAGAGGTTGGGGATCTAGAAGAGACAATGAAGCAATTATGTAGATTTAAAAGTCTCTTAAATCTTAGAAAAGTGAGTTAGGCTTGAAGTTAAGAATCACATGCAACATAAATGGGACTTTTGGGGATTGAATTAGAGCTTTTCAATTGGGGTTTTCTAGCAATTAAAGTATTGATTTTAGGTATTACTGTAATTGTACCATCATGACTCGCTTGGTTAGAGATTCTTTAGGACTACAAACTATCCCGTTAATATATAATACTTTGGTTTTATTATTGCCCAATATTATCCACATCCGTTAGTAAATTATAAATGAGATTTTGCGTAAAATATATCTGATCGTGCCACTTCCCAGCGAGATTCTACAGTTCTTGGCGATTGGCCAGAGATTCACGGGCAATCCAGTCTTCCTTAATAAGGTCCGATGCTTTCTCAGCAACCATTACAGTTGGTGCATTTGTGCTGCCGCTTGGGAGGCTCGGCATAATGCTGGCATCAGCCACTCTGAGACCCTTAACACCTCGGACATTCAGTCGAGGATCAACGACGGCATTTCGATCGGTGTCCGGACCCATCTTGGCCGTTCCAACGGTGTTGTACACCGTGGTGACCATTTGTCGACAGTAACAATCCCAGTATCTCTTCGTGCCATCGTTAATTCCGCACGTTAGAATGGGAATTTGCAGCTCCGTCACTTGATTTTGCAAGAATGCATTTGTCAGGAGGAATTTCTTCTGCATTTCAATGCCACGAACTAAAGTGTCCACATCTTCGCGCTTCTCGAGGTATTTGTGATTGATCATGAGCGGATCAAGTGGATTGGCCGTTTGCATTTTGAGTTTTCCCATTGATTTGGGCTGAAGATGAATGATCCACGCTATAAGGATGTCTCCTTGATCAATGGCAGACTCCAAGATGGAGTTAATTGTGTCCTCATAGCCCATTATTTCCAAAAACTTGGGGAATATCGCTTTATCTCCCATCTTAAAGAGATTGTATTGGAATTGAATGTCTGGAAAGCGATCCGTGATGTTCACTGTGTTGAAGAATCCTACGAAATCAAGGACGAAATTGTCGGAAATGTTTCTTTTAGTCAGATAGTGATAATAAGCTTCTATTTCTTCGGGTGTGAAATCGACTGCTTTCTTTTCTTGTTGCACTCCATGAGGACATATTGGCACTTCCTTCGGTGGTTGAGGAACATTCGGAATTGGAGTTTCAATAGGAGGTCCTCCTGTTCCGCCCATCTTTGGAATTTTCATGAATAATGGCACAGCAACTTGATCTTGGAGATTTCTTCCGACAGGCAAATCTGTCACCATTGGAATACTGAGTTTCTTCATGTATTTTTGAGGTCCAATGCCGGAAAGCATAAGGATTTGTGGAGTATTGATGACTCCTGCTGACAGGATAACCTCTTTCCTAGCGTTCACTGCCATTTCAGTCATCTTGTTGAATGTTACATAAACACCTGTTGCCGTGACTGTGAGAGGATCAATTCGTACTTTCGTCACGTGTGCATTTTTGATAACGTGCAGATTTGGTCGATCTCGCGCAGGAACGAGATATCCTCTCGCGGAACTGCACCGTGTGCCATTATCGAAAGTCGCAGATGCACTGCCGAATCCCAGATATTCATCACCATAAATATCCGGAATTATCCTGTGTCCCTGTTCAATGGCAGCCATCTGAAGGACATCTCGCATTGGATCACTGCTGCGGAAAGTGCCAATCTTCAGTGGACCTCCGCGTCCGTGATTTGTGGCGGCGATTGTATTGGGCAATTGTTCATTAATCATGTCTTCGGACTTCTTGAAGTACGGCAACACCGAATTCCATCCCCATCCGGTATTGCGATCCAATTCCCATCGATCGTAATCACGACTGTTTCCGCGCAGATGAAGCATGTGATTCAACCCACTTGTGCCACCGAGGAATTTCCCGCGTGACCACAGAATGCCATTCGGATGGCTCAAGCTGGACTTCTTGGACGGTGTCGTCCTAAAGTTCCAATCATGCACCGTGTTTTGCAGTGTGAATTGCATGCAAGACATCTTTTTATGTGTGTTTTATGTTTGCGCAAAGCCCCCAGAAAAAAGAAAGAGAGAAAAAAGAACATGCAAAAGGAGTGAAGACCAATTTTGCAAAAGGATATTAGCACAAGCGGTTAAAGCATATTTTGATAGCCAAAGGAATGTTAATGGGATGAGCAATTTGGAAAAAAAGTGTGTTAGATCAGATCTTACCTCAGATTCTATGGGTGGATCTCCTCCTGCCTCGAGGAGAAGGACTTTCCAGTTGGGATTCTCACTCAGGCGATTAGCAACAACTGATCCTGCAGATCCTGCGCCGACAACAATGAAGTCATACTCCTCAAAACCTATGCAGACAATTGAAAATCAATTTAATTTCCCGCAAACACTGCATTTCAGGCTTCTACTTGCCTTTCTCCAGTGCTGTCGGTCCGTAGTCCTTTGGCCACATTTCGGGTGGTGACAGGGCGCATTGCGAGGCGAGCAGGGTGTTGATTAGGAGGCCAATCAGTTGGTTTGCCGGTCCCACACTTTGGGCGGCGCATGGCAATGTATAAGTCTCCATCGCTGCCACTAATGAGATAAACCCACGAGCCGGCTAATCTGTTAATTGAGAAGTTAATGCCAATTTAATTTCACCCTTATAATATTTTTTTTTTACCCGACAACATTGTCGGGTTATCGCGAATCGCTGAGTACACGTCAGGCGTTGTGATGTGTAACCTACCCAAATATATGAAATGATAAGGTCAAATGGGATTTCAGTAAGCTGTCTTATCGTCTGGGCCATAAATATACCGTAGACTTTTCACTCAGATAAATAAACATTGCGTTTTTATTGGTCCACGTCGGAGTGGAAAATTGCTTCTGTAAAATTTCCCAATATTCTCATTTCTTTTTCCACCGGGTTGTGTAATCTTGATTGATTGGATCTGTTTTTATACACCATCATCAATTAATTGGGTGGCGCTGAATCGGGGACAAAACATCTTCAGCGTCAATTGGTTGATTTGCGAAGGTGTGGAAACGGATGTATAAACATTTCTTGAATCTTTCAGGTCTTGTCAAACATTTAATTAATATTAATAACGCATTGTTGCAAAAAACATTGTTATTTAACTCATCATTCCGTGTGTGACCTTATGATTTTCTCAATGACTTATGGTCGCAAATACGAGTTTCATCCACTCTCTGTTCAGTGGATTGAAAGCCAGTATTAAATTACTTTTCATTGCGAATCGCTAATTTTCTCACGCAAATACCACAACTCTCTCCTGATTAACTGCGGTTTTTTTCCTTTCTTTCTTTACTAAAACGTAGAGAAAATGTCAAAAGACACTCACCAAGAACTGTTCACTGAATTTCTTTTCAATTTGCGACCAAACCAAGAAATCAATCCGAATAACTCGACAGCACTTTCAACAGTGACTGACTCCCTCGGATATCGTGTGAATTTCTACTCATTGTACTATCTTATCAGTGTGTGGTGGAGAGAGCCGATTGGCACGGGACACACTTGAGGAGAGTACATATTTGGAATAATTCTCAAAAAAAATCTCCTTATCAGAGGATTTTTTTGCGCCTGAAGGAAAAAAACATTGTAGCTTAAAGTTCTACTTAATTGCGCTTACCTGAGAATCTTGCGGTCCTAGAACTCGACTCGCTGTGAAGTGTGCGAAGTTGGAATGCAAATAGAGTTGAGATGTGGCGCACAAAGTGGAATGATTATTTGCAGAATGACACAGAAAGTTAAGATAAAATTCAGACAACAATAAAGAAGATGCACCCGTGATTACTTGAAAGCCACTAATATTTATTCTAGGGATTATTTTAATTCTATTATGTTGTACTTTGATGCTCCACACGAGTTATCTTGCACTTCTGGATGCCTCAGAAGAACTGACTTTCACTTTATATCACCACGGGAGAAATTTCACCGGCCGGTTAGTCGATTAACCATTGAAACTGGTTTATCGGGTTATCATAGACTCATATATAGTATGTGTGAGATGCAGTGGTGAATCAACATTCTTACTATGTAAAACTTGTGTAGAATATGCTAATTGCCGCGTATAATAAGAGCCTTTGAAAACTAAGAATATCTTTATTGGACAAATTTCATTTCACCAATCTTCTTTGATGAAATCTGCACCTTTTTCCGCAACCATGATTGTTGGCGCATTTGTATTTCCACTAGGAATTATTGGCATTACACTTGCGTCAATGACTCGCAAGCCTTTAACGCCTTTGACTCGCAATCTGTAATCGACAACGGCGTCAGGATCAGAGTCAGGACCCATTTTGGCCGTCCCCACGGGATGAAAAACTGTCGTTATTGTGACACGACAATAACATTCCCAGTATTCGTCACTGTCAAAAGTCAATAAATCACATTCGGGAATTGGAATGATGAAAAGTTCAGCTTCGTGGCTTTTAAATGTGTTTGTCTTTAGAAATTTGAGATACAAACGAATTGCTTTAATAAAAGCCTCCACGTCAGAATACTCAGATAAGAACTTGGCAAATATTCTTGGTTTCTCTATCGGTTCGGCACTTCGCAGCAAAATTTCGCCCCGTGATTTTTCTTTCAAAAAAACTGGTGCTATTATAAGGACATGTGATGTTTTTGCTTCATCAGCAATAATTCGTGATATTTCTTGAGTATAGCCCAAGTGTTGAACAATGAAGAAAAACAGAGTGTCTTGTTGACCTTTGTGAAATAACAGTTGATAGAATTGAAAATCAGGAAACCTGGACAAAGGATCATGAACATTGACATATCCAATTGTTTGAATCGTTCCTGTTGTGGCCAAAGTTCCGGTGTGACGCATTAAATACTCGGCAAAACTTTCTAGAATTCCTGTAGGATTTACAGGAGTTGCCGTGGATCGATCAAGCTTCACTATTAGCGGAATCATCATATGATCCTGTAAGTTCTTTCCGACCTGGAGATTTCTGATCATTGGAATTCCCATTTCTTGAAGATGAGAAGCAGGTCCGATTCCTGATAACATGAGAATTTGCGGGGAATTTATGGCTCCAGCACTTAAGATCACTTCCTTATTCGCAAAAGCCTTCAATTCAGTTTGTCCTCGAAGTTTCATTGACACACCTGAAACGACTCCTCTATTATCAATCTCCAGTTTCGTAACATGCGCGTGCTTGACGATGTGTAAATTAGGACGATTCATGGCTGGAATCAAAAAAGCCTTCGCCGTGCTTTCTCGAACTCCTGATCTGATGGTTCCTTGCGAGAATGTGAATCCAATATGTTCATTTGCATTAATGTCTAAAATGAATTTGAATCCCATTTCTTGTGCTGATTCAATGAAGTCCTGATTAAATGTGTCGTTATTCTTGTACAGTTCGACGGACAATAAACCGTCCTTTGAGTGATAAAATCCTCCGAAAGCGTCAGCGATTTCCGGATTGTGATTTTGCTCGGATTTCTTGAAATATTCCAAGACGTTTGCGAATCCCCAAGTTGGATTTCCGAGCGCTTCCCAGTTATCGTAATCGTCTTCGTTTCCTCTCACATAAAGCATTCCGTTCATCGAACTCGATCCTCCCAACATCTTTCCTCTTGGCCAATAGCCAAGATTTACTCTATTGAAGTTCGGTTTCTCCGACAGTTCCATATAATATTGCCAGTCATATTGTGTCTTCATCAAAGTCAACATTAGTCCGGGTATCTGCAAAAGTCCAAGTATTTTGATTAATGGCCCATAAATCATGTTTTATACAAAAACCCACCGCTGACTCGATCGGAGGATCTCCTCCTGCTTCCAACAAGAGGATTTTCCATCGTGGATTTTCACTGAGACGATTGGCAAGAACACAACCAGCAGATCCCGCGCCAACGATAATGAAGTCATATTCCTCAAAACCTATTTAAAGACTTCATAAATTCCACACTTTTGATTTTCATCGACAATTCTTACCTTTTCTAATCGCAATATCTCCATAATCTCTGGGCCACGTTTCCGGAGACGAAAGAGAACATTGTGAAATGGTGAGATAATTGAAGAGAAGTGAAATGTATTGATTCACTGCTCCGGTACTTTGACCCATGCACGGCGAGGAAAAACAATCCATTTGTATTAAATTCAGATTTAAAAAATACACAGACGTGTAATTTCAGAGATGTTTATGCTCTGAAAGCAGAAATATGACTAAAAATTTTCCAAACTCTCCTCTGAATGTGCAAAAAGAATTTGATTTTGCTTATTTAGGAACCAGTTCGCGAATGTTGAACAGGTTTCCAGAATTTTATTATCCTTTTCTTTAAAACGCCACAACCACAGATCAATAATTTCCGAATTGTCGCATATATTGGAAGCATAAGAAAATAACCAAAAAACATGTATAAGAAGATGCAGTGATGAATCAACATTCTTACTATGTTAAACTTGTATGGAATATGTTAATGACCACGTTTAATAAGAGCCTTCAAGAGCCTAAAATATCTTTATTGAATAAATAAATTTAGTAAATTTTGTTTTCACTTCAACATTACCAATCTTCTTTGATGAAATCTGCACCTTTTTCCCCGATCATAATTGTTGGCGCATTTGTATTTGCACTAGGAATTATTGGCATTATGCTGGCATCAATTACTCTCAGTCCTGTAGTGCCTTTAACTCTTAGTGTGTGATCAACAACGGCGTCAGGATCAGAGTCAGGACCCATTTTTACTGTCCCAACTGGGTGAAAGACTGTCGTTACTATGACACGACAATAACATTCCCAATATTCGTCACTGTTAAAAGTCAATAAATCACATTCGGGAAGTGGAATGATGAAAAGTTCAGCTTCGTGGTTTTTAAATGTGTTTGTCTTAAGAAATTTGAGATAGAGACGAATTGCCTTAACAAAAGCTTTAACGTCAGAGTCTTCAGAAAAGTAGTTAGCAAAAATTCTTGGTTTCTCTGTCGGTTCGGCACTTCGCAGCAGAATTTCACCCCGTGATTTTTCTTTCAACATCGATGGAGACATTATAAGGACATGTGATGTCTTTGCTTCATCAGCAATAATTCGTGATATTTCTTGAGTAAAACCTAAATATTGAAAAATGAAGGAAAAAAGAATGTCTTGTTGACCTTTGTGAAATAACAGTTGATAGAATTGAAAATCAGGAAACCTGGACAAAGGATCATGAACATTGACATATCCAATTGTTTGAATCGTTCCTGTTGTGGCCAAAGTTCCGGTGTGACGTATTAAATACTCAGCAAAACTTTCCAGTGCTTCAGCACTATTAAGAGAAGTTGCCTTGGATTCATCGAGCTTCACTATTAACGGCACTATGGTATGATCTTGCAAGTTCTTTCCAACTTGAAGACTTTGAATGACTGGAATTCCCATTTCTTGAAGATGAGAAGCAGGTCCGATCCCAGAAAGCATTAGAATTTGTGGCGAATTAATGGCTCCGGCACTTAAGATCACTTCCTTCTTCGCAAAAGCCTTTAGTTTTTTCTTTCCTCGGAGTACCATTGACACACCTGAAACTTTTCCTCTATTTTCAATCTCGAGTTTCGTGACGTGCGCGTGTTTGACGATGTGCAAATTGGGACGATTCATGGCAGGACGCAAGAAGGCTGCGGCTGTGCTTTCTCGAACTCCTGATCTGATGGTTCCTTGCGAGAATGTGAATCCAATATGTTCATTTGCATTAATGTCTAAGATGAATTTGAATCCCATTTCTTGTGCTGATTCAATGAAGTCTTGATTAAATGTGTCGTTATTCTTGAATAGCTCGACGGATAATAAACCATCCTTTGAGTGATAATATCCTCCGAAAGCGTCAGCGATTTCCGGATTGTGATTTTGCTCGGATTTCTTGAAGTATTCCAAGACGTTTGCGAATCCCCACGTTGGATTTCCGAGTGCTTCCCAGTTATCGTAATCGTTTTCGTTTCCCCTCACATAAAGCATTCCGTTCATCGAACTCGATCCTCCCAACATCTTTCCTCTTGGCCAATAGCCAAAATTTACTCTAGTAAATCCTGGTTTCTGCGGTAGTTCCGTATAATACTCCCAGTCATATTGTGTCTTTGTTAGAGACACTGATAGTCCAATTATCTGCAAAAGTGTAAGTATTTTGATTACTTGCCTATTTAATCATGTTTTATATAAAAACCCACCGCTGACTCGATCGGAGGATCTCCTCCTGCTTCCAACAAGAGGATTTTCCATCGTGGATTTTCACTGAGACGATTGGCAAGAACACAACCAGCAGATCCCGCGCCAACGATAATGAAGTCATATTCCTCAAAACCTATTTGAAGTCTTCAAAAATTCCACACTTTTGATTTTCATCGACAATTCTTACCTTTTCTAATCGCAATATCTCCATAATCTCTGGGCCACGTTTCCGGAGACGAAAGAGAACATTGTGAAATGGTGAGATAATTGAAGAGAAGTGAAATGTATTGATTCACTGCTCCGGTACTTTGACCCATGCACGGCGAGGAAAAACAATCCATGTTTATGGTCTGAATGTTGAAATAGCACTAAAATTTTTCCAAACTCTCCTCTGAATGTGCAGAAAGAATTTGATTTAGCATATTTAGGAACCAGTTCGTGAGAATTGAACAGGTTTCCAGAATTTCGTCTTACTTTTCCTTAACACTTCACAACCACAGACGAATATTTTCCGAATTTCTCCATGTAATGAGAAAATTAGTTTTTTTTATCCACCACCGTTTATTTTTTGAATAAGAATGCATTTTAGAATATATTACACTCATATTTTGACACAGAACTCTCTAAGAATTTCTGTATAACTTATAGACATTTATCTTTCACTCTCGAGACGTAATATATTTTCCATGCGTTAAACTAGACATGCTGAAAACTTGTATATTTATTTCGTTGAATATATTATGCAATTTTTATCTTCTTTTGAATATTTATTGATTCTCATTGACCGGTGTAACCCCAAGAGCGTTTCACAAAGTCAGCTCCTTTTTCTCCGATCATGATTGTTGGCGCATTGGTGTTGCCTCTCGGAATTCTTGGCATTATGCTTGCGTCAATGACTCGCAGGCCTTTAACGCCTTTGACTCTTAGTGTGTGATCAACGACAGCGTTTGGATCTGAATCGGGGCCCATCTTAACAGTTCCCACTGGATGATAAAGGGTTGAGGTCATGTAACGACAATAACACTCCCAGTAAGAATCACTATCAAATACAAAATAATCGCACTCTGGAATTGATAAAGGAAATAATTTGGCCTCGTGGTTTTTAAATGTGGGTGTTTTGAGAAATTCCAAATATTTACGAATGGCTTTTATAAATGTTACAATATCAACAGTTTCTGATAAGTAATTCGGAACAATACGAGGATGTTCAGTTGCATTAGCGCTGCGAAGCAAAATTTCTCCTCTTGACTTTTCTGTTAAGAGAGTAACAGCTACAATAAGAATATTTGAATCTAGAATTTCCGGTGACACACTTTGGACAACAGAATCTTGATATCCCAAGAAGTTAAGCGCTGAAGCAATATCGGTCAGCTGTCCTCTCTGCAAATACATGTGATGGTATTGAATGTCAGGTTGGGTTACAATAGGATCATGAACATTAACATAAGCCCATGTTTCCATAGATCCAATGTTGGAAAACGGACCAGTGTGCTCTGTGAAATATTGCAAGAAACCCTGAAGAGTTTGGGTCATTGTTACTGGAATTGCTGTTGATTGGTCAAATTTGATAATAAGTGGTACGAAAGGATGATCTTGCAAATTTTTGCCAACTTGATGGTGTCGGATTACTGGAATTTCAAATTGTCGAAGATGAGAAGCAGGTCCGATTCCGGATAACATGAGAATTTGCGGGGAATTTATGGCTCCGGCACTTAAGATCACTTCCTTCTTCGCAAAAGCCTTTAACACTTTTTGTCCTCTGAGATTCATGCGTACTCCAGAAACTTCAGCTTTGTGATTAATTTCCAGGCCTAGCACTTGAGCGTGTTTAACAACGTGTAGGTTTGGTCGATTCTTTGCCGGACGTAAGAATGCAGCAGCTGTGCTGTCGCGCACACCTGCCTTTACAGTGCCTTGGCCAGTAGTTATTCCGATGCGCTTATCTGCATTTATGTCTGGTACATATTCATATCCCAGTTCTTTTGCCGCTTGGATCAGATAAGAATTGATAGGTTCGTCACTGTTGAAGTGTTCAACGTTTAATAATCCACTTTTGGAGTGATAATATCCTCCGAAAGCATCAGCAATCTCCGGATTTTGATTGCGTTCAGACTTCTTGAAGTATTGCAGCACATTCTTCCATCCCCATGATGGATTTCCAAGCTCTTCCCAGTGATTATAGTCATTCTCAATTCCTCTGACGTACATCATTGCATTCATCGAACTCGATCCTCCCAACATCTTTCCTCTTGGCCATAAACCCGATAGTTTGCTGTATTTTTCGGACGGTTCAATATAATACTTCCAGTCATAATCACTTTCTGCTAAAGTTATAGTAAGTCTTGGTATCTGTAAAATCAAGTCATCTTTTAGGGGTTTGCCATTATTGAAAGTACAGTCTTACCAATGATTCTACAGGAGGATCTCCTCCTGCTTCCAACAGGAGAATTTTCCATTGAGGATTTTCACTGAGACGATTAGCAAGAACACAACCAGCAGATCCGGCGCCAACGATAATGAAGTCATATTCATCAAATCCTGCGAAAATTTCACATAATTCCAAAGTAATTCACGGCCAAAGTTCTTTGAATTCACCTTCATCAATTGCAATATCTCCATAGTCTTTCGGCCATAATTCCGGGGGAAAACGCGGGGTTGTGAGAATATTTAAGAAAAGTGAAATGTACTGACTAACTGCTCCAGTACTAATGTTTGTGTATGGAGAACAGACACAATCCATAATGTTCTAATATTGACACTTTACTTAAAAATTATCACGATGCTTTGCCTTCTAATGTCAAAGCTAAACTGAAACTTCAATATTATTCTTTCTAGTCATATAAAGCATGAAAAATTTCTGCTTTATGACTTAATTTTGCATCTTTTATGTTTATATCCATCATTTATATAAAAAAAAATACAGACGCAATCTGTACATTTGACGTTATCTTTCTCTTTATTGCGCATTCAGGAAACCATACAAAAATACATTTCAACAATAAGTTTATCAGGCACATAAGAAGTAAAATACTTTTTATTCATCTGATTTTTTTTGTAATATCCCAAAAGAGACTTATGGTTCCTTATGTGAATTTCCAGTCTTGCTTGATAAAATCAGCTGCTTTTTCTCCGATCATGATTGTTGGCACATTTGTATTTCCTCTCGGAATTCTTGGCATTATGCTGGCATCAATAACTCTCAAACCTTTAACGCCTTTGACTCTAAGTCTGTAATCAACAACGGCGTCAGGATCAGAGTCAGGACCCATTTTTACTGTCCCGACAGGATGATAAACCGTTGTAATCGTATATCGGCAATAACATTCCCAATATTCGTCACTGTTGAATTGTAATTTATCGCATTCGCGAATCGGAAATGTTTTCAGCGTCGCTTCATTTGATTGAAATGTTTTTGTTGACAAGAATCTGAGATACAATCGAATAGCTTTTATGAAAGTTTGAAGGTCTGATTTTTCGGCTAAATAATTGGGAATTATTCGAGGTTTTAACGCTGGATTTGGACTTCGCAACAGAATTTCTCCTCTTGATTCTTGTGTTAAAAAGCATAATAATGGTATAACAATGTTTGAAGTTAGAATTTCATTTTTTCCATAATTGATAACATCTTCACTATATCCTAAAAGTCTCAAGAATTCAGTGACTCCGTTCACGTCACCTTTCTGGAAAAATACTTGATAAAATTGAAAGTTTGGGTACTTTGATAGAGGATTATCGACATTCAAATATCCTATGGCTGAGAGAGTTCCAATTGTTGCAAAATCTCCTCTACGTTCTGTCACATACAAGAAATAACTCTTTATCAGATCAATTTGGCTTACTGTTCTTGCACTGGATTCATTCAATTTGACTAAAAATGTTATACACGGATGATCCTGCAAGTTCTTCCCGACCTGAAGATTTTGAATGACTGGTATTCCCATTTCTTGGAGATGAGCGGCAGGTCCGATTCCGGATAACATGAGAATTTGCGGGGAATTTATTGCTCCGGCACTTAAGATCACTTCCTTCTTCGCAGAAGCCTTCAATTCAGTTTGACCTCGAAGTTTCATTGACACTCCTAAAACGACTCCTCTATTATCAATCTCTAGTTTCGTGACGTGCGCGTGCTTGACGATGTGCAAATTGGGACGATTCATGGCAGGAACCAAGAAAGCCTTCGCCGTGCTGTCTCTGACTCCCGATCTGAGGGTTCCTTGCGAGAATGTGAATCCAATGTGCTCATTTGCGTTAGGATCTAAGATGAATTTGAATCCCATTTCTTGTGCAGATTGTATGACGTCTTGATTAAATGTGTCGTTATTCTTGAATAGCTCGACGGATAATAAACCGTCCTTTGAGTGATAATATCCTCCGAAAGCGTCAGCGATTTCCGGATCGTGATTTGCCGCTGATTTCTTGAAATATTCCAAGACGTTTGCGAATCCCCAAGTTGGATTTCCGAGCGCTTCCCAATTATCGTAATCGTCTTCGTTTCCTCTCACATAAAGCATTCCGTTCATCGAACTCGATCCTCCCAACATCTTTCCTCTGGGCCAATAACCTGTGAGAATGCTATAATTTCGTGATTGATCTATATAGTATTCCCAATCGTATTTCGTTTTCACGAGTACTGGTTGAAATCCAGGTACCTGATGAAAAAACTTATACATTATCTATCTTGTTTTCAATTAATATTTTTATTAATAATTATTTACCATTGACTCTATTGGCGGATCTCCTCCTGCTTCGAGGAGAAGTATTTTCCAATTTGGGTTCTCGCTTAAGCGATTCGCAACAACTGATCCTGCAGATCCTGCACCAACAATGATAAAGTCGTACTCCTCGAAACCTGCGTGTTTACAATTCTGATTTATACACTTGCAATCACTTTAAACTTAAACAGATTATCACCTTTACGCATAGCAATATTTCCGTAATCGCGTGGCCAAGATTCTGGCGCCGAGAGTGAACATTGTGATAATGCGAGATATTTCATGAGGAGAGAGATGTATTGATTCGCAGGTCCTGTGCTCAGGTTTGGGCAGCTCGAAGTCAATTGTACCATTGTCTATGTACTTTTGCTTTTCAAATATATCCTTTTTTAATTTCTCACTTTACATATACACGAAAACCACATTAGACGCAATGTTATCTTTTTTCATCTTTACCGATTTAAAAAGTATCGTTAATATTTGCACAAACGAAAAGCATTGGATATCGATGTTCACTATGACACGATTTCAGTGTGACTGTGTTCTTTTAATGCAGACTGCTTATTTATAAACGAGCTCCGAATCTGAATAAGAAATGGTACATAAGAAGACCAAAAATTAGGTGTAACTAAGTTTGTATGTATATGTATTATGATGCGTGTTGATATGTTAAGGTTGAATGTTTTAAGAAAACATAGTTTTTTTTTTCTTTTTACACTTGTTCGCGGGAAAAGGAGCTAAATTAAACAAAACTGCATTTTTGGCATATATGTATTATGAAAAACTAACACGATTCGCACCTTCTGTCTATGATGAATTTTGTTTGCTATGAAGTTTCTGCTGCGATAGAATAAAGAAATGTGAAGAAAACCAGTTGTTATTGAGTTAATGCTCTACACAAACTTAGTAAGAGAGAAAATAATAAATAAGAAGAATATTAGCAAAATTTATTTCATTTGATTAAAATTCATTAGAATATTATTCAAATAAAGAATTAAATTATAGGTTGCAAAAGAGGAAAACAGAAAATTTCAAATGATAGTATTCAACCATGAAATAATTCCATCTTTAATCAAAATTTCCAATCTTCCTTGATAAAATCAGCTCCTTTTTCCCCGATCATTATTGTTGGCGCATTTGTATTTGCTCTCGGAATTCTTGGCATTACGCTTGCGTCAATTACTCTCAGTCCTGTAGTGCCTTTGACCCTTAATCTGTAATCAACAACGGCGTCAGGATCAGTGTCAGGACCCATTTTTACTGTGCCCACAGGATGATAAATTGTTATAATCGTGTATCGGCAATAGCATTCCCAATATTCATCGCTGTTGAATTGTAATTTATCACATTCGCGAATTGGAAATGTTCTCAGCTTCGCTTCATTTGATTGAAATGTTTTTGTCGATAAAATTCGGAGATACAATCGAATACCTTTTATGAAAGTTTGAAGGTCTGATTTTTCGGCTAAATAATTGGGAATTATTCGAGGTTTTAACGCTGGATTTGGACTTCGCAACAGAATTTCGCCCTTTGATAATGGCGTTAAGAGACTTAGTATTGGCAAAAGAATACTTGACGTTTGAACTTCCTGTCTTCCAAAATTTATAACACTGTCACCATATCCTAAAACTCTCATGACCCTAGTCATAGTGTCGATATCTCCTTTTTGGAAGAAAATATGTAGGTATTGAAAATTCGGATACTTTGAGAGGGGATCATCGACATTGACAAATCCCATTGTTGGAATACTTCCAATTGTAGCGAAATCTCCTCTTTGCTCAGTTAAATACGTCGAATAACTACTTATGACATCTGTTTGGGTTAAAGCTTCTGCTGTGGATTCATTGATTCTAACAAAAAATGCAATCCCGGGATGATCCTCCAGATTCTTTCCCACCTGATGATTTCTGATCACTGGAATTCTCATTTCCTTGAGATGAGAAGCAGGTCCGATTCCTGATAACATGAGAATTTGCGGAGAAGCTATGGCTCCGGCACTTAAGATCACTTCCTTCCGTGCAAAAGCCTTTAGTTTTCTCTTTCCTCGGAGTACCATTGACACTCCTGAAACTGTTCCTTGCTTAGCAATCTCGAGTTTCGTGACATGCGCGTATTTAACGATGTGCAAATTGGGACGATTCATGGCAGGACGCAAAAAGGCTGTGGCTGTGCTTTCTCTTTGTCCTGATCGAACAGTTCCTTGTGAGATTGTGAAACCAATGTGTTCATTGGCGTTAATGTCTAAGATAAATTTGTATCCCAATTCTTGAGCTGCTTGAATAATTACGTTGTTGATTGTCAGATTGCTCCTGAAGAGTTCCACAGACATTAATCCGTCTTTAGAATGATAAAATCCTCCGAATGCGTCAGCGATTTCCGGATCTTGATTTGCCTCTGATTTCTTGAAATATTCCAAGACGTTTTCAAATTCCCATGTCGGATTTCCGAGTCTCTTCCAATTGTCGTAATCGTCCGCATTTGCCCTTATATAGAGCATTCCATTCATTGAACTCGTTCCTCCAAGCATTTTTCCCCTTTGCCATGCGCCTGTGTGAATATTAATATCTTTCAATGGTTCTGCATAGTATATCCAATCGTATTCTGTTCTTCCCATTCCTGATTGAAGTCCTGGCACCTTGGTGAAAAAAATTGTTGTTAATATCAGTTTACTTTGTTGTGTGCTTATTACAAAATATTCTTACTCCTGCTTCAATAGGCGGATCTCCTCCTGCCTCGAGGAGAAGGATTTTCCAATTTGGGTTCTCACTTAAGCGATTCGCGACGACTGCTCCTGCAGATCCTGAGCCAACAACGATAAAGTCGTACTGCTCGAAACCTGTGATAACAATTCCAATTAAAATATTGTCTTCACTGAACACAAATTTTTACCTTTATGCAAAGCAATTTCTCCGTAATCTCGTGGCCAAGTATCTGGCGCCGAGAGTGAACATTGCGACAATGCGAGGTAATTGATGAGGAGAGAAATAATTTGATTCGCAGGACCTGTGCTCAGATTCGGACACGTCAAAGGAAATTGATCCATAGTGTATCAATTTGTTCTTCTTCTCTAAACAGACACGGAAAATTTGAACATAACTTTTCAATGTTGTTCAAATTTATTCACTAACAATTTATCAAATCACAGCGATGTTTTCACTTACACAATCGATAGTTGACTGACTTCAGTCCGACAAAACTACACATTTTTATTAAAAAAGAACTCGAATATGGTTATTGTACAAAGAAGTCAGAAAATACTACGCATCGTTGCATTTCTTTTATTTGATTGTGTCCATTAGAAATTAGAAATTAGAACGGACGAGTATTATTGGCATGATTAGCACAGCAATATGAATAATCAAATGTAATTAAATGTGACATTATGCTGTATAGTTCAGGAATGAAAATTAGAATAAAATGTCTCGGAAATCTTTCAATTTCCACATATTCAGCAAACATTTCTTATACTGAAATCCATCTGAAGAACATTTGTCAAACTCTTCGTAAACATGCTTGTGTTTTGCTGCGCATTTATTATGCAATAGATTATACAGTAAAAAAATTACACATATTTCATTTAATTAATTTGTGTATAAAGACGATATAATTATGCATGTATTTCAAAAGTAATTTCACTGTCGCATCTGTGAAATCCAATGAATATAGAAAGCAATTAATTAGTAGCAATTCATTAGATATTCATTCAAAAGTGAACAATTACCAAAAAAAAATCTGAATCCAAAATTTCACTTTCAGTGGAAAATTTTCCAGTCTTGCTTGATAAAATCAGCTCCTTTTTCCCCGATCATAATTGTTGGCGCATTTGTATTTGCTCTCGGAATTCTTGGCATTACGCTTGCGTCAATTACTCTCAGGCCTTCAACGCCTTTGACTCTAAGTGTGTGGTCGACAACGGCGTCAGGATCAGAATCAGGACCCATTTTTGCTGTCCCCACGGGATGATAAAGAGTGGTAACAGTATAACGACAATAACATTCCCAATATTCGTCGCTGTTGAATTCTAGTTTATCGCATTCGCGAATAGGAATTGTTCTCAACGTCGCTTCATTTAATTGAAATGTTTTTGTTGAAAAAAATCTGAGATACAATCGAATAGCTTTTATGAAAGCTTGCAGATCCGAGGATTCGGCTAAATAATTGGGAATTATTCGGGGTTTTAATGCTGGACTGGGACTTCGCAGCAGAATTTCTCCTCTTGATTCTTGTGTTAAATGTGTTATCATTATTAAGAGAACGTTTGAAGTTTGAATTTCTTCCCTGCCAAAATCAATAACTTCGTCAACATATCCTAAGAGTCTGAAAAAACCAGCGATTCCGTTTACATCGCCTTTTCGGTAAAATACTTGATAATATTGAAAATTCGGATACTTTGAGAGAGGATCATCGACATTTACATATCCTATTGTTGAGAGAGTTCCGGTTGTTGCAAATTCTCCTCTACGTTCTGTTAAATATAAGGAGTAGCTCTTCATCAAGTCTTCTAAGCTTATTGTTGTTGCATTGGATTCATTAATTTTAACAAGAAGTATTAATACAGGATGATCCTGCAAATTCTTTCCGACTTGAAGATTTCTGATTGTTGGAATTCGCATATCGTTAAGATGATTAACAGGTCCGATTCCTGATAACATGAGAATTTGCGGGGAATTTATGGCTCCGGCACTTAAGATTACTTCCTTATTCGCATAAGCTTTAAGGTTTTTCTTTCCTCGAAGCTTCATTGAAACTCCTGAAACTTTTCCTCGACTATCAAACTCCAATTTAGTGACGTACGCGTATTTTACGATGTGTAAGTTGGGACGATTCATGGCAGGACGCAAGAAAGCCGCGGCAGTACTTTCTCGGACTCCTTTTCGAACAAATCCTTGCGAGAATGTGAATCCGATGTGTTCATTTGCGTTAATGTCTAAGATGAATTTGTATCCCAATTCTTTGGCTGCTTCAATGATTGCGTTATTGATTGTCAGATTGCTCCTGAAGAGTTCCACAGACATTAATCCGTCTTTGGAATGAAAATAACCTCCGAAAGCGTCAGCGATTTCCGGATCTTGATTTTCCTCTGATTTCTTGAAGTATTCCAAGACATTTTCAAATTCCCATGTCGGGTTTCCAAGCCTCTTCCAATTATCGTAATCATCAGCATTTCCTCTTACGTAATTCATTCCATTCATTGAACTCGTTCCTCCCAACATTTTACCTCTTGGCCACCATCCCGCTAATATACTATAGTTTGGTGAAGGTTCTATATAATAGCCCCAATCGGTATATTCATTAGCTACTGTTGCTTGGAATCCAGGTACCTGAAAAATAAAAATATTTTACTTAAATATTG